AGGGATGGAGAAAGAGTTGCACAGAATATCCAAATACCCAATCTGTGTTTTATTCCCAGCCTGGGAGGGCAGGGCAGGGGTGTGGGAATGTTCAGAAGTGATCTCCAATTCCTGTTTTTATTCCCAGCCTGGCAGGGCAGGGATGAGGGAATGTTCAGAATTAATCCCCAGTGTTACAGTGAGCTCATGAGCACCCTGTGCCCCCTTCCCGGGACCCTGTGACTCTGATCAGATAACCCTGGACCCTCCTTCCTGCCCCAACGGGGTTGGTGCAGAGCCAGAGAAGCCCACCCTGCCCAAAGTCTATATAGACCCCTGACATTTCCTGTTCATCCTCTTTTGCCCCGCTCTCCCCTAGGACATCACAGAATAAAGAGAGCTGCACCAACTTATATCAGGGTAAGAGCCTCTTTTGGAAATCTTTGCCATCTCCTGATATTCCTCCCCTCAAAGCCTCGGATCTCTGAGCTAGCCTGATAATTCAGGGGGCTGAGGGGGTGAAACGTCACCCCAATACCTGTTTTTATTCCCAGCCTGGCAGAGCAGGGCAGGGATGAGGGAATGTTCAGAAGTGATCCCCAATACCTGTTTTTATTCCCAGCCTGGCAGAGCAGGGATGAGGGAATGTGTTCTATAAACACCAGGGGATCCTGAACTCCTCCACCTCTGTGAGTTTGGGACAGCAGGGGCAGTTGGAGAGTGTCCCAAACGCCAGGGTAGAGGAGGAAAAGCAGAATTTCCGCAGTTTCGGGTATTCCCGGTGTCCTGAGGAACCCGACACTTTTATGTCCCGATCGAGGATGGCTCCTGATGGCCGGGCGGGGTCGGACGGAATTCCTGTGACTTGTCCTTGCCGGGGATGTTCTGCTCTCTGTGAGTTATTTACCTGTCGCCCGGGTGTGAACGCTCGCAGCTGCTCCCTGCCACGAGCATCAATGGCTCAGGTGCGTTTGTTCTCTTTTCTCCTTGTTCCCGCTCACAGCAGCGGCTCTGGGGCACCGCGGGGACGTTTTCATTTGCCAGAGCAGCAGAAGGAGGCAGCTGCCTTTCATCTGCGTCCCCAGCCCTCCTCTGAGGCGCAGGTGATGGAAATCCTGATTTCTGGCACCGCACAGGTGGGGAACTCCGAGGGCATCTGTGGCAGGCACGTTCTTCTCTCTCTCAGGATCTTTTCATAGAGGAGCACAGAAGAATGAAAGACCAAACAATTTCTATTTCTGCTGCTTGTTTTCCCTGTGGAATGTGTTTGGAGAATTGTTTCCCTGGGGTGTTGCTTGGTTGGATTCTGGTGAGGATTGTTTGAGCCTGGTGGCCAATCCAACCCACCTGGGGCTGGGCTCTCAGAGAGGGTCACCAGTTGTGAGGAGTTAGATATGGTAGTTAGAAAATGTAGGTGTGTCCTTTAAATAGTATATTAATGTATTATAGTATAGTTATAATAAAGAAATCATTCAGCCTTCTGAGCTGGAGTCAGACATCATCATTTCTTCCCAGCAGATTCACCTGCATTTCCAATCGGCATCCACCAAGCAGCCTCACCTGGCTGCAGGGCTCTGAGCAGACCCCGAGCGCCTCTGCGAGCTCAGCTGGAGTGTCCTGCTGAGCCTCCAGGATTTAGCTTTTCTTTTAATTTATTTTTGTTTCAGCCTGCAGCTCTCCAGGTTATTATTATTATTATTATTATTATTATTATTATTATTATTATTATTATTATTATTATTATTATTATTATTATTATTATTATTATTATTATTGGGGTATTGGCGTCTCCTCTCCGCGAAGATTTCCTCTGCAGCTGGGGAGTGCAACCCTGAGATGGGGGAAAAGGAGCCCGGCAGTTGCTGTGCACTGGAGATTTTGGATTCTGGATCCTTTCTGCCCCTCCCAGGGGCGTTCTCCAACTGGGATGTGGCTGCTGGGTCAAGGTGTTCAGGAAAGGCCAAACCAAACTAACTATCTCCTTTTTGTTTTTTTTTTTTTTTTTGGAGGGGTTTTGGTGCAGCTGCCTCAAACTTTAGGCTCAGAGTTTCCAGGAAATGCAGGCTCCAGATGCGGAACGTGGACCAGGCCTCCATTCCTGGAATCCCTGAAGTGCCCTGGTGTGCACAGAGCTTCATTTCTGCATTTATTCTGCATTATTATTTATTCTGCAGCAGCGCTGAAAGGACGGATAACTTCAGCTTGAGCTGCGCTCCACCCGCTCAGCAGAAGCTGCCTCACCCCGAGATTTTCTTTTTGTGGAATATTCTGCTTATTTCCATTTCCAAGTGCGCTGATTGAAGCCACAGCTGCTGCCCTTATTTCTACTTTTGCTCTCTCCTTCCCCACCAGAGCTGCGTTATAAACTGAGGACTCGGTATTTTTATCTGAAGCACCAAACACAGACTCCGTGGCGTAGGCAAAAATCCATAATTAGTGGGGCTTGAGGCAGAAGTGGCTGCACTGACGTGGGCAGGCTGGGGAGGATGCTCTGCCACGTGAAAACTTTCCCGTGGAGCTGCCCAGCTCTGCCCCTCCATGGGGTTTTTGTTGGGTTTGGGTTTTATTATTACTTTTTTATTTATTTCCTTGGCAGCACCAGACACAGGGAAATGACCTAAAAGGCTGTTGAAGGAAATGTATTTTTCATATATTTGCTCCATGCCTTTGCAGCGCCGCTCCTTGTTGTGAGCTGGAGCCTCGCAAGCACACGTTGGTGAGGGAATAAGGAATTTTCGGATGTGATGTGCTCAGATATTGATTTTCTTCCCTTCCCTCTCTCTTCAAATTCTGTTTACAAATTCCTTTTGCTTTAATTTTTTGTTTCCTCCTGAAGGCAGCACGAAGGCAGCCTGCGGGAGGACAGGGGCTGAGCCCTGTTCTTCAGGAGATGGAACCAGCCCTGCTGCACTCTCCCGGCCTCTTCCAGGCAGGGATTGCAAAACATTTTGTCATTTTTCCCCAAAACTTGGTAAAAAAGCGGGGTTTGGGGCTGGGGAGGCTGGGATGGGGCGAGCTCAGTGCAGCTGCTCGAGCACAGATGGGGAGCAGCCCTGAGCTCTGCTCTGGGCCCCATGGAAATGGAGTTCATTTCCAAAAGGGGATGGAAATGGAATGGATTTCCAAAAGGGGGATGGAAATGGAGTGGATTTCCAAAAGGGGGATGGAAATGGAGCTGATTTCCAAAAAGGGGATGGAAATGGAGCTGGTTTCCAAAAGGGGGATGGAAATGGAGTTGATTTCCAAAAAGGGGATGAACCCTGAGCTCTGCTCTGGGCCCCAGTGGAAACAAAGTTTATTTCCAAAAGGGGGATGGAAATGGAGTTGATTTCCAAAAGAAAAGGAATTAGCCCTGAACTCTGCTCAACACTTGTGGAAATGGAGTTCATTTCCAAAAGGGGATGGAAATGGGGTTCATTTCCAAAAGGTGGATAGAAATGGAATTTATTTCCAAAAGGAGAATGTGGAAATGGAGTTGATTTCCAAAAGAAAAGGGATTAGCCCTGAACTCTGCTCAACACTTGTGGAAATGGAGTTTATTTCCAGAAGGAGGATGGAAATGGAGTTGATTTCCAAAAGGGGGCTGAGCCCTGAGCTCTGCTTTGGGCCCCTGATGGAAATGGAGTTGATTTTCAAATGGGGGATGGAAATGGATTTAATTTCCAAAAGGGGGATGGAAATGGAGTGGATTTCCAAAAGAAAAGGGATGAGCCCTGAGCTCTGCTCAACACCTGCTGCAAATGGAGTAGATTTCCAAAATAAAAGGAGAATGGATGCAAAATTGCAACATCTTGGCCAGGAATTCTGCCTGCTCCCCTTCCACAGCCAGAATTCCTTGCAGGCCCCAGGATGCAAACAGGGCCTGGCTGTTCCTGCCCTGTGCTGAGGGAATCTCCACTCCTGAGCATCAAATCTCATTTTGTGTCTTCCCCTGGCCTGTTTCTGCAGGGTTTGTGTCGCACACAGCTCTGACACACCAGATTCCCCATGGCTTTGCCCCTTTCCTCTCCCCCTCTGCCTACTGGAAAGAAAACACCACAAATTCCCCAAATCCTGTGCCCTGGCTGGATCCAAGGACAGAGCCTGGCAGAGCTGCTGTTCCTTCTGGCCACAATTCCTCCTCCAGCCGTGCCCTCTCCTCCAGGCGCTGCCTCTGCTTCCCGACCTCTCCCTGGTCGGATTTATCCAGGGCAGAGCAGCCGTGGTTGCACTTGGGCAGAGCCAGGAGTTTGGCCTTGGACCTTTGAGGTGTGTCCTGATCAGGCATGTGATAAAAATATCGATGTGCAATTAGCCAGGGAAGGGAAACTGCTGCTGCGGGCAAGAAAGAGAATTTTAGATCACAGCCCCCTGCAATATTGATAACAACAGCCCAGAACAGGGCGGGTGGGCTTGGGAGGCTTTTTCATCCTGTTCCTGGGCACGGGGATGCGTTTTTAGGGGTTTGGGCCCAAACGTGTGAGTTTAAAGGGTGGCACAATCTGGGGCGGGTGGAGAGAGGCGGGGAGGGCGCAGGGCCACGCTTGGGTGTCTCAGCCTGGCCTCGGGGCGGCGGGGGAAGCCTTGGGGCTGCTGCCAGCGGCTCTCCCGGGCCGGGGCTGGGGGGTCCCGCACCCCCGGAGTGGGGAGCAGTGTGGGGCGGGCCCTGGGCGTGACCCCATCCTGCACACCTGGGCGTGTCCCAGCTCACCTGGGCGTGTCCCAGCTCACCTGGGCGTGACCCCATCCCGCACACCTGGGCGTGTCCCAGCTCACCTGGGCGTGTCCCCATCCCGCACACCTGGGCGTGTCCCAGCTCACCTGGGCGTGTCCCAGCTCACCTGGGCGTGTCCCAGCTCACCTGGGTGCCCCTCCCCCGCGGCACTTTTGGGGGGGAGGGTTGTGGGGGGGGGTCTCGCGTGTCCCCATCCCCCCCCCCACCTGCGCGCGCGCCGCCGACCGGCCCCGCCCCGCGCGCCCCTAATTGGCTGTGGGGGAGGGGCGGCTCATTAGTGATGCGGGAGCGCGCCGCGGCCCCGGAGTCGGCGGCGGCCGGAGCGGGGAGCGGAGCCCGCACCGCGGCCCCGGAGCGCCGCATCCCCGGGAGCCCGACAGCGAGACTGCGCGGGGGACAGGAGCGGGCAACCCCCGCAAAAACACCCGAAACCCCCCAAAACCCCGGCTGATTCTCTGGCTGAAGCTCGGCTCCGCATCCCGGGGCTCCGCATCCCGGGGCTCCGCATCCTGCGCCTTCATATCCCGGGGGGTTCCATCCGCGGCTCCGCATCCCGCGGCTCCATCCCCGGCTCCGTATCCGGGGCTCCATCCCCGGGGCTCCAACCCCGGGGCTCCAACCCCGGCTCCATCCCCGGGGCTCCATCCCCGGGGCTCCAACCCCGGCTCCATCCCCGGCTCTGCGGGCTCAGCATGGGCGGAGGAGCCCCGCGCCTGCACCGGCGGCTGCTGCTGCTGCTGCTGGGGCTGTGCAGCTGGACGGCCGCTCTGCGAGGTAAGCGGGGCTCGTCCTGCCCTCCCCGGGGCGGCTGTGGGGCGCGGGGGTCCCACCGGTTGCTCCGCGGCGGGGCGAGCGCCGGAGGATGGCGGAGCGGGAGCAGCGAGACGCGGGGAGATGGCGGGGACCCGCCGAGAAAAACATCCGCTATCCCAGCGCCGGGAGCAAAACCCGCATCCCACCTCCGGGAGAAATCCCGCATCCCAGCGCCGGGAAAAACATCCGCTATCCCAGCGCCGGGAGCAAAACCCGCATCCCACCTCCGGTAGAAATCCCGCATCTCAGCGCCGGGAAAAACATCCGCTATCCCAGCGTGGGGAGCAAAACCCGCATCCCACCTCCGGGAGAAATCCCGCATCTCAGCGCCGGGAAAAACATCCGCTATCCCAGTGCCGGGAGCAAATCCTGCATCCCACCTCCGGGAGATCCACCAGCATCCCAGCGCCGCGAGAAACACCCGCATCCTTCCTCCCGGAGAAACATCCACATCCCATCTCTCGGAGAAACATCCACATCCCACCTCCCGAGGAAACATCCACATCCCACCTCCCGGAGAAATATCCGCGCCGCCGTGGGGACCGGAGCCGACGGCGCCGGGCTGCGCTGGGGGTCCCGGGGTGGTCCGGGGATGATCCTGGCCGTGGTCCCGGGGTGGTCCCGGGATGTTCCTGGCCGTGGTCCCGGGATGATCCTGGCCGTGTCCCGGCCCTGTCCCGCGGCGGTCGCGGCCGTTCGGGTCCTTGGGGCGCAGCGCATCCCCGCGGGCTGCGGCTCCGCGCTCGGAGCGCTCCGCACTGTGCGGTGCAGCAGCCGCGGGCAGCCCGCGGGGTCCGGCTCTGTGTCTGGCTCCGGGCCCGGACACCGCTCGGGCTATCCCGGGACGGGCTCCGGGGGGCTCGGGGACCCCGCGGGCAGCGCGGTCTCATCCCCCGTGTGCCTCCGGCCGACGCGCACACGCGGGTGGATCTGTTTCCCGTGTGCCAGGCTCGTGCAGATGCTCCGGATCCTTTTTTTTTTTTGGTGATTTTATTGAACTTTTCCCTGGTAAATCACTGGAGGGCAGTCACCTCCTCAGGGCACCCAGCCAGGGGATGTCACCAGCCCTGACCGCCCGCGCTCCCGCAGCCTCGGCGGGGCTGGCCGGGCTTCTCCCGGTGCTGGAAGTGCGGGGATGTGCGGGCGGGGCTCTGTTCTCCCTTTCGGAGGAGGCTGCGGTGAGCAGCTCCGTGCTCGGGCTCTGTGATGTTCAGCACTCCCGCACAGCGGAGCGATCAGACTTTGCGGCTCCGCACAGGTTCCTCACCAGTGGAGCTCTCCCCTCGCACGCCCGTCGTGCCCGCGCTCCCATTCCCCTTTGGATGGGATTTATGGCTCTGCTCTCTGAAGGGGAGATCGTCCTCGGGTAGCCACGGGCTTGTGCCAGCTGGCCACAGGTGCTGGAGCCTCCCTGGCCACATCACTGCCCGGACCTCTCCCTGAATTACGGCTCCAGTAGAGGAGGATTTTGTGGAACAGACAAAATCTGCCCTTTTGGGGGAAGAAAAAAACCCCAACCAACCCGCAGAGCCCCACCAGTTTAGAGGGCAGTGAAATAAATGGCGAGAGTAGAATGGAAAATAATAATTCCTGGTTTTCATTATAATTTGATCGAGAAGCGTCGGTGCCTGCAGAGGGAACCGTGTGCCTAAATCAGTGATGGGGGTGCTCGGTGCCTTCGGTGCTCACACCTGGGAGCCTCTGGCAGCTCTTGCTCTGGGGGAAGTGTGGTCAAGAGATGGAATTTCAGAGCACGGGGCTGGAAGATGCTTCTGGTGCTGCCAAGTAACGAATTCCAGCTCTTTAATTAAAACGTGCCGCGTTGGACGTTCGGGATTCTGGGCTGGGGCAGGGTTTTGGGCATGGCTGTGAGGCAGAGCAGTGATTTTTGGGCAGTTTGGTGGCAGTGCTGCCTGGGGGTCACTGGCAGCTCTGGCTGAAGCAGTTGAAGCTCAGCTCCAAGCCCGGAGCTGCGAGGTTTTGGTTTATGAAGTTGTCTCAAAGCTGCCTCAGAGACAGATTGTGCTCAGATTTCTGTTCTGAGCGGGGATTAAAGACAAATGGAACGGTTGTAGAAACCCCTGGCACGGCGTTTGAAATCTGCTGGAATGAATATACATGGATAGCCCTGGGCTTGTGCTTTTACAGGAAAAAATTACCCTGACAGGCTGGTAACTGGAGGAGAGAGTCACCAATATTTATTACCTCCCTGCTGCCTCCAAACTCATTTTGCACACCTCTGAACGGAGATGTCTGTGAACACGAGCGTTAATTCTCTGCAGCCCGAGCAGTGTCAGATCACAACGATCCGGGCACGTTTGGTGCTAAACGAGCACAGTCTGGGGATTTACCTGCTCGGAAAGGAGTGGGGTGGCTCTGTGGGCAGGGAGCTGTTGGAGCAGAGATCTGCGAGCTTTCCTGTGGCTTTGGGGAGTATTTAATTGCTCTTTTTTTTGGCCGTGAGAAGCTCTGATCTCTGCTGGTCAGAGAGCTGCGTGCTCACAGCGGTGCTGTCCAGCAGGACAAAGCAGGCTCCGGGGAAACAAGGCTGGATTTGGGTGAAAACAGCAACTTCTGCTGCTGTGGGGGTGAGGCAGGGCCGGGGTGCCCAGATTGGCCCTTTTGTCCTGCATTTAATGATGGGAATGGGATGAGCCCCCAGCCACTCCATCCTAAAGGGGCTGGGATTTGGGAATTCTGCCCCGGGGCAGTGCAGGAGCCACCAGGGCCACGCCGGGGGCTGCTGCTGCTGCTTGGCTGTGCCCATTTCTGCTCCAGAGGCAGGTTTGGGGCAGTTTGGGGATGTTCAGCAGCTCTGGGTGGGACATTTCTGCTGCGCCAGCCCCGGCTGAGGGCACAGGTATCAATAATAATATCAATAACACTACAGGGTAATCAATGCAGTCCCTGGACTGGTTTATCTGCTCTCCAATAGCCTGGATGGGCTATTGATAACCCAGGCTTGGGCTTGGCATGGGATAAACACAAATCCAGGCAGGAGCTGGGTGCTGCTGGGACCTCTCTTGGCTCTGCTCAAGTTGCTCCATGCAGGAAATTCTGTATTTTGGTCTCGTTGGGCGAAGTGCTCATTAAAATAACAACCACACACTCTGCTCCCAGCTGTCCTCCCACTCCCCTGCAGTGCCTCGTGTGGGCTTCCCCGTCAATATTTATATTATTTAATTTAATTTAATTTTTTCCCGTTATTTAAACTTCCCAGGGAATGAGCTCCCTTCCCTTGCTGTTTAGGAGCTGCACTGTGGGGCTAATTCCCATCTCCCAGGGTGGCCCAGGTGTGCTGCAGGTGCTGGAGCTTTGCTGTCCTTTTTGGGTGTGGAACAAGGATCATTTTCTGAACACCACGGGCAATTTGGGGGCCACGGAGAGCAGGATGGCAAAGCTGGGTGTGCAGGAGCGCGTGGTTTGGAATTACTGTGCCAGGGGTTCTGTTCTGCCCTGTGTTTGCTCTGCTGTGTTTGATGTGCTGCAACAGAATTTGGGAGAAAATTCAGAGAGAAAGTGGCCAGGCCTGACTTTGGGCAGGAATATCTGGTCTGGCTTTGGACATTTTGGTCTGGCTTAGGGCAGTTTGGTCTGGTTTAGGGCAGTTTGGTCTGGCTTAGGGCACTTTGGTCTGGCTTAGGGCACTTTGGTCTGGTTTAGGGCAGTTTGGTCTGGCTCAGAGCAGTTTGGTCTGGCTTAGGGCAGTTTGGTCTGGCTCAGAGCACTTTGGCCTGGCTCAGAGCAGTTTGGTCTGGCTTAGGGCAGTTTGGTCTGGCTTAGAGCAGTTTGGTCTGGCTCAGAGCAGTTTGGTCTGGCTTAGGGCAGTTTGGCCTGGCTCAGAGCAGTTTGGTCTGGCTCAGAGCAGTTTGGTCTGGCTCAGAGCAGTTTGGTCTGGCTTAGGGCAGTTTGGTCTGGCTCAGAGCACTTTGGCCTGGCTCAGAGCACTGACCCTTGTGTTCCATTTTTCTGGGCTGTGTTCTGAGCACAAAAAACGTGATTTATGCTAAGATGGAAAATCACGGAGCAGAGGAGGCCTCAGGGCCCCTGGCTGTGTCTTTTCTGTATTTTTAGCCCTGCTTCTGGTTGAAGGTGGAGTCGGGGGGAAGGAGCAGGATGCTGACACCAGAGGCTGCTGTTTCAGAGGCTTTGGGATGCTGCTGGAGCAGATGGTCACATTCATCTGCCTCAAACACTGAAATGCTTCATTTTCTATTTATACTTTTACTGCTCTGGCTGTGCCACGTGTGGCTCGGGGCAGGATGCTGTGCAGGGTTCGTGTCCCATCAGCTCCCACCAATAAATCGCTTTTTGGAGCAGGCAGGGGTGCAGAGGTGCCAGGGCCAGGGAGGAGCCCCAACACCTGGAATTTACCTGCACAAAGGTGATGAAGGTTTCCGTCACCTTCCCCTGCCCACCCACCCTTTCCAGGCCTTTTGAACCACTCAGAAATGTTCTTAATTAAGAAACTTTTATTAAGTCCAGTGACTTTCCCAATATTGTTCAGTGCCAAATACTTCTAGGAATTTCCATGCAGGGAATTACACTTAATTACACTTTGACATCATCATCGCTAATGAATTTTTGGTTGTTTTTTTTTTTTTTTTTTGCTGTGAGTAGTTTTGCACAGCCAGTCACAGGGTCTGTCACTTTTACAAATTGAGGTCCATTTGCATATTGGAGTTAATTGTCCAATTCCAGCTTTAGGTTATGAAGTTCCATCCTTGTTTTTCTCTCTCCAGTTCACCTTTGTTTATATTTTTTGGGGCTGGAGCTTGTGAGGCCTGTCCTGGCTCTCAGCTGGAATTGTTCCCTCTCAACAGGAACTGTTCTGTCGGAGAGAACGTGCTAACACTCAACACAAAGCTCAGATTTGCACTAAAGCAGCACAGAACAGAAAAACAGAAAAGCTGAAACTTAAGGATCGTTTCTGGAGGCAAATGTTCTCTGAGCTGGGGGAC